GGGACCCACCAAGTGCTCCCTCTGGGACCCACCAAGTGCTCCCTCTGGGACCCACCAAGTGCTCCCTCTGGGACCCACCAAGTGCTCCCTCTGCCTCTTGGCCCTGTGATGCCACAGCTCTTACCACTCCTAAGCCACCACATTCTCATTCAAGAGGAATGGAGCCGGTGCTGGGAGATGACTTAGTCTCTAAGGTGTTGCTGGCTGCCCAGCAAGAGGACCAGACTTTGGATCCCTAACACTCATGTGAAAAAGAAAAGAAAGAAAATCCAGGTGCTGGGGCAGATGATTGTCATCCCAAGACTGGAAAGAGAGAGAAAGGAAGATTCTGGAACCTGCTGGCCATCCAGTCTAGATGATTCAGCAAGCTCCAGGTTGAGTGACAGACTCAGATTAAAAAATATATATATATATGGAGAGGGAATGAGGAAGACCCCCTGATCTCCATGCGCGTGTGTACACATACACACTCACACACACACACACACACACACACATGTATATACACACAAAAAGTAGACACACCCCAAATCTTATTCAAGCCTACTGACCGTGTGCTCCTCAAGGTGAACAGTGCCCCAGAGTGTACTGGTCAGTTTTGGTATGGGCCCCTGCTCTCTTCTCTAACCTCCGTGAGTTTACAGAAACTATGCAGTGCTGACTGGGAACAAGGGTAAATTCAGTTTAACTAAACCTGCTCTCCAAGAGGAGAAAAAAAGCATAAAGGTAAGGACTATCCCGCGTGGTAAAGAATCCTGTTCAGGAGTCAGATCTGTACTCAAGAGACAAGCAGAAACAGCGGAAGCATAATGTGCTCTGGTACTGCCGGCTAGCAGCGCATATAAAGGCACAGGGAACTGAAGAGAGGAAAGCAGGATGGTAGACAATTGTACCGCAGTGTGGTGATTAAACAACAGAAACTGATTATCCTCAAGCTGTGGAGGCCCTGAGTCCAAAATTAAGACATTGGCAAGTTGGCTCTTTTGGGGGCTAAAAGGAATGGCCTCTCCTGGGCTGTGCCCAGGGCTTGTTGATAACCATGTTCCCTTCCCCCAATCTCCTCCCATGGTGTGTGTGTGTGTGTGTGTGTGTGTGTGTGTGCGCGCGCACACATAGAAGTCCCCCCCTTTATAAGGATGTAATTGGATGCAGCCACTCCAGCATGACCGCATCTTAAACTGCGTAGGTCTACAATCATTCTATGTTAGGTCCCATATTGTGATGATAAGGCTGGGGACTGTTAGCATATGAGCAAGAGACAAACTGAAGACACGGGAGAGGATCCAGCTGACTGACCTCTAAGTAAGGCCAGAGGGTCCAGAGGATGAGGTGAGTAGGGAGGTAGGCAGAGGTCTGGGCTGGCTGTGGAGGAGCAGAAGGATGAGGGGATGGAGGGATGGGCTAGCAGCAAGCCTTTCCTGTCAATGTGTGGGCCATAGGACAAGTTGCAGTGTCACAGAGCCTTGAATCCGTAGGCTGTCTGTAGAGCAGTTAGCAGATGCTAGGCCAGGAGTCAGGCGGTGGTTGGGATGAAATCTAGCCTGAGCCAAGGAATAAGATTAGAGTAGGGAATTAAGCTGGTTTGAAGGAAGTTGTGATGGGAATGTTATCTGTTTACACATGTAGATCAAAAGGAAGCCAATGGAGGCACCTCAAAGACTGAGGTCTGAATGTGGCAAACAGGAGATCCCAGGGCTGGTGGGGGCAGTTGGGGATGCTGAGGAGAAAGGTGGTAATGGCCCTCCAACAAAAAGGAAGAGGCAGCTCCTGTCCTCACCAAGTAAGAGATGGCACTCAAGCAACCACATCTGCATGTGGCAGGTCTTAAGAAGGCTGGAACTGGCCTTGAAAGGCTCAGCCCTGGCCTGCAGAGAAGCCCTGTGCAATTCTTTCACTCAGACACAGGCTGGGAGCCTTGTAGAATGTGGGAGGAGTTGGAGAAAGAACTAGAAGGCAAGCCAGGACCCCTTGTCAGGATTTTTCTGAGAGACATGGGGTACATAGAGGTACAAGTAGGAACTCAGGATAGGCTGCAGCTCTGACTTGGGAATCTGTAGAAACAGCAGCAGGGGGAGGGGAATGGAAGAATAAAGGCACTTGAGAAATTAGAGTTAGGAGAGAGAGAAGACAGAAATTTAGCGCTAGGGATTCCAGAAGGTAAAAGAGTCAGAAGACAGAAGAACTAGAAAAATAATCAGGTTAAAAAAGAGCCCAGGAAGCCAAGTGGTGGTGACACATGCCTTCAATCTCTGTACTCAGGAGGCAAAGGCAGGGGGATCTCTGTGAGTTCAATGCCAGTCTGGTCTACAAAATGAGTTCCATGACAGCCAGGGCTACACAGAGAAACCCTGTCTCAAAACAAACAAATAAACAAACAAATAGAGCCCAGGATGTGTGGGGAGTGTTGATGGACACCTGGAATCCCAGGGTGGGATGCTGGATGAGGTGCTCTGACAGTGTTACAACAGGAAAGGGGAAAAAAGCTAAAATTCTTGGGAAATGATTAATCCTTAGAGGAAACCTTGAGAAAGTCACTTCACCAGTTTCAGATGCATTCTGTTGTTCAGTCAGATCATATCGCCATAGCAACCACTCTCTCACAACCACATAAACAGGAGCCTTACAATAGCAAAATGATGAAGGACACAGCCCAGGAACTGAGCTCTTTCACTGGTGGGGCTAGGGAAGAGGTGTTCTCCACTTGTGTTACATAAGCTCACACCTTCTCTGGAGGCCTTCTGGTAGGAGATACTATCTGAAAGCTGCTCCTGGAAACACTGATTCGGGTCTATACCTGAAGTCAACCACACAGGAGCGCACATCTATGCTTGAGAGTAAGTCTTCTGTGAGGCAACTGTGAAGGGTGTTTATCAAGAAGCTACTGTGCTGTTAAGAAATTTTTATTACAAAATAAAAGCCAACTGTAGCCCTGGCTCTCAGGAAATGGCTACAGGGAATGCAAGATAAATCCCAATCTGGATAACATCGCTGATTTCAGGCCAGCCTAGAATACACAGCATGATTCTGTCTTGATGAAACAAACAAACAAACAAATAAATGGAATGCAAGTTCCTTCTGTTTCAGTTTGACTTCAAGAAATAAAAGTGTCTACTAGAGATAATCAATCCAATACATAAATGGATGGATGGATGATAGATAGATAGATAGATAGATAGATAGATAGATAGATAGAGAGATAGATAGATAGATAGATAGATAGATAGATACATAGACAGAGACAGATCAATATGAGTTAAATTAGAGAAAGAATGAGTACATTTGAAGATAGTGAACCAATGCATTGTGTTCTTAGGAACTGAGGTTTGTTAGAATTAGATCAAAGCCAAGTGTTTGACTTCAAGTAAATACAATTCAAAACCTTTCAGCGTTGCTTGTGGAGTCAGAGACCCTGTGCAGGCTTGAGTTGTAGAACAGTGTGGGACCTAAGTAAGCATCAGGGATAGCATGCTGTTAGTAATGCTGGCCATTGGGTGGAGGGGACATCATCAAATGCTCCAACAGTCCAACCCTGTAGAAGGTGGCGTCTGCTTGCTTCCAACAACTCCAGCTTAGAAGGGAGGAGCCAGATAGCTTCTCATCCACATCTCGTTGAGCTCTGCTGGCCTTTTTCCTCTGTGATGATTAGGAATCTGCCAACACAGTCTCAGAGAATGTGTGGCTACAGAGAAGTGTCTGGAATAACGGTGCTAAGAGTTTAGTAGCCCTTGTATCTAGAGAGCTGTTCAAATGCAGATTCCGACCCAACAGGATAGTGCTGCAGCAAGCCTGTGCTTTCCTCACAAGCTTGCAGATGATGCTGACAGTCCGGTCCGGGACCACACTTTGGGTTGCAAGAAGGTAGAGGTAGCCTGCTCCATCTCTCCACCTCTTCACCTTCACTTGTTTGTGAGCTCAGCTACTTAGAGAAAAAGTAGGGACGCTGCTATCAATGCAAACACACGAGTGAGTTACACCAGTCGTTCAGATTGGTCACGATGCAACAGGAAGCTTGGCATCCTCCAACAGTTTCCTCAGTGGTTAAAATTCTCTTTGTTTCTCTGTAAACTCTCTAACTCTTGTGTTATGTGCTGCTTTGTGGCTGAGACATCACTTCCACAGGCTCCTGGAAGTGTTAGACCAGATCTGCTTCAGCCAACCTCTGTCTTGGCTGCACATCCGAATCATGAGGAAGGCTCTGAGTATTGCCAGTTCTCTGCCTAGGCTAAAGGCTACTTAATCATAATCTGTAGATGTGGGACCCAGTCATTGGTATTTTCTAAAGCATTCCATATGATTTAATATGTAACCAAGGTTGAGAACCACTG